AATTTAAAAAGAGAGTGAAACCAATTACAGCAGCAAGTCTTAAAATTAACCTCTATAACTACATTTTTATTGACCAAAACACTTTTAAACTTTTTCAATTAGACACTTATCTGAAAATTGAAGAAATGCTTTGGAAAATAGATCTGTAAATATCTTGCATAAATACGTGGCCCTAAATTTGGAGGAAAGAAATAATACAAATAGACCCATTACTCTCTTTCCTTTAAGATGTAGAAACTACATGAAACAAGTAGGACAATAAATACATGTAAACACCTAAATTAGGTGTTATTTAACTCCGTAGGGCATGACAACACCAGAAATGCCAACCAATGAAGGTCATCTGCAGATTATGTATAGAAGATGAGCTAGTCATTTCAATGTTGCATCTCTCTGAAATATTTCTACTGGTCTTTAGAAATTTCTATTTTTTTGAGGAAAAACTATAGGTACACACTTCCAAAATATTTAGTGGTTACATTAGGTACACCACAATTTAAACTGTAGCACATGCACATGTGTACTGAGGCATGAGTACATGATTATGTCTTTTTGTAAAAGTGTGTTTGTGTACCAGTATTTCAGGATACACAGTGAGGAGAAATGAATGAACCATAACATATGGCATATAAAATGTAATATAATTTAATACAGAGTTACAATTTAAGGACCCAAGGTGTAAATTATTTTGGTGAGGTTAAAGTTACATTTAACTTATGGTTTATTCATCATTAAGAAACTAACCTTGGAAAGCAGCGTAGAGAGATTAATTGATCTTTTCCATTAAATCTTTTATCATCCAGAAATTACACCTTTGCATTTTTTAAATCCATTCAAGTATCTTCAGGAAATATGTTACTACACTTGCATGTACCCTAACTCATTTCAACATTTACAAAATAACACTGACAAACAAAACAACAGAAAACACCCACAAATATTAATGAGTATTTTAACAAACATGACTCTCAAGTAGTTGTTTTAGGATTGTTTTAAGTGACATTTTAATTCCACATTCTCTGAAATCTTCATGTAAAATAGAGCTGTATTGATGGATGCTTCAGACACACTTACTTCAGCTATGACTGTGGTACCTTATATGTTAAAATAATTTTGTGTATCCATTTTGCATAATATGCTACCCGGACAAAAATACCGGGACGATTTGGAATGGCACATCCACGACCAGGAACAATGACTCCAAGAACCAATCTCATTTTATGCTGTTCACAAACAAGTGGGCCACCATAATCCCCCTAGGAAGAAGGCATACAACAAAACAACAACAAAGTATTGTTAGACATAAAAAACAATAACTTAATAATATTATCCTATAAAGATTTGCATCTCAGAGATACATATACATGAAAAAAGGAATAACTAAAACTGAAATATGAAGATGTAAAAATTGGTGCACTAGACCATTGTTTGTCTTTCCATTGAATTAGTCAAGTAAGACTAAGGTAAGTACGAAGTTTGAAGTGTTCTATCATGTGTAATACTCACTTAAGAATGACTTGCCTTTTCGAAAATATTTACTTATCCTTTAAAGTGTGCTTTGCCTTTATTGAATCCAAATTA